AGGCATCTCCAGGCAGGAAAGAGTCTTGCCCAGGAATGTGATGGCTTCATGGTACTAGACATAATGGTTCATCTGAATCAAGTTATGGACTCTCGGTCAAGAGGACAGCTCCAGGGCCCATCCCCCAGGAGAGGGGTTGGTAAAGGGCATGCCACATGGTAGAGCTCAGAGGGCTTAAAAGAGAAGCATCAGAATCCATGGTCTGGTCCTGAAAGGAGGGGATTGGCTTGCAGATGGGCCTTCTGCACAATGGCCCTGGGATAGACTAGAACTCATGGACTGTAAAGGCCTGGACATTCTAGCCCATTAACTATTCAGGTGGGGAAGAGGTGGCTCCCTGTGAAACTCCAAAGCACGTCACATATGCTAGGGGGTTTAATCTTCTCTTTTGGACCTTGTAGGATACTTCCCTTTTGCACACAAAGCAGAACCTTGAATCAAGTTTCCTTAACAACGGCCTTGTTGGAGTAAAATGCATTAGAAAAGTGTAGTAGAGATTGTTCTTCTACTCCTTAAACCTGTTTCCTCTCCTTCTCAGGAGAAAGCTGACCACGTCTCCTGGTCCTCCTTACACTTAGCGTGACTTTGTACTTGACTTTTAGCCAAAGAAATGTGAGTGGGGATGATGCAGACTACTTACTTCTAGGACTATTGTTATGTGCCATTGAGTGGATTCCAACTCATAGTAACCTTGAATAGGGTTACCACAGAGTGACTAGCAGTGTGGAACTGCCAGTCTTACAATTACAAGTCCAGTGCTTACCCTACAGCACCACATCAGGACTTTACTTCTAGGACTAGCTCCTGGAAATGTCCTTCACACAACCCTCCATCCTCTTTCCCTTCCCCAGCTCAGTGCAGATGGGAAAAGCAATCTTGAAAGCCACACTGAAAATAGGTGAGTCACACACTGAAGGGAACCTGGGTCCCCAACCATTGCTAGGAGGAAGAACCCCCATTGATGAGGGCACCTTGGTCCGTTTAGGTCTTAATGTGGTCAAGAAATACACTTCCATTATGTTAGGACAGTAGCTCTTTTTTGTATAAGAATTAGCCTAACCCTAATTAAAACAGAAAGCAGCACTCTTAAGCTCTAATTAGGGCAATGCTGCCCTAATTAGATCACCCACCCAGCATCCTCGGTACATCTTTGCCACTTCTATACAGTTGTTTTGTCCATCCTCCTAGGATGCTGCCGGAGAAGCAAAAGAGGTTGGTTCTATGCTTGTTGGACATCATGAGACTTCCTGTTCCCCATCCCAGCCAATCCAGAGGCTACTGTGTCACTCAGTGTCATCGTTTCTGTGATAAATGGGAATGTGAATGTGTCAGAGAGGACAGCAACAGTAGAGAGCCTTCTAACAGGACAATGAAAGGAGGCAGGAGGAAAAGTGCTGCTGTCCTCTGTTTGTGCTCCATCCAAAGAGGCTAAGGGGACGCCCAGCTAAGGAAAGGAGGCCCCAGAAGCCATATTTGGCTGGAGCAGAGGAAGCCCTGGTTGATGGCTCCTGCTTCATTTCACACAGCAGGCTGCTCTGTCTGAGTTCGCTGTAGGAATAGTGACTGGTTCCCCTGGGTCCTAGGAGGCCCTGGCAAGCTTGTCCTTGTCCTGGTAAGCATGCAGGAGAGAGGAACTGGCATTCCTCACCCATACACTTGCTCTGACTCTTCACTTATCATTAGCTGTACTAAAATAGTTGGGGACTTAACAACTCTCTGTTCAGAAAAAGATGTTTTGTTCCTGAAAGAGGTACTAGAAGTTCACAGAATAGAAATGGAGTCTAATTTTTCCACAGAAACAATATAATAGGAATATGATTCTAGCCAAAAAGCCAACCCACTATTCATAAAAATGATGGCATTGCATCGTAGTTAATGTGCCAATGAGAGAAGACAGGTGCACCCTACAAAAGTGTTCTGTTGTTGTTGTTGTCAGGTGCCATCGAGTCGGAACCAACTCATAGC